TTCAGCCAGGTCAGTGCAACTCAAGACACAGCTTGGAAGCAGCTGGCACATCTACGTGCACTTGGGCAGAAGACACATGCCCTCCCACAATGTCCTGGGGTCACTGCTTGAGTCATCAGATAGTGCACAAAGCTGTGATGAGCACTTGACTTACCCAGGAAAGTAGTGATGTGCAGTGTGTGCCTGAAAACGCCTCATGCACTGCACCGTTTAATACTGGATGCAAGAAGTGGTTTTTAATTCTTTACATTTTGTTTTACTTTTCCAGACGGTACTGTCAGAGGTTCAGACACAGATTGGAAAGAAGTAGGTATTTTTAAATATGAAGACTAATGTTAATGACTCAAATAAGTAGTGAGTGAATAGTGAAAGATATGTTTTTACTTTTAGTGTGATGTAATGAAATCAGTTTAAATTAAATTTATTGTTAAATATTGATAATTAAAATGTCTTCAGTTTAGGTTTAGTTCTTGTTTTCTTGTAACTACAGAGTCTTAATGTGTTTCTCATTGAAATATAATATCTTAGTATTTTTTTCACAAAAGTAATTCTTTTCATTGGTTTGGGTTGTTAGCTAGTTAGCATAGTACATTGTGAAAAGAACAAGGATACATGGTTTTATTTGTAGATTGTGACTGTAAAAAGCACTGATAGACCTGAGGGAAATGGTTTATGATGAAGGACTAAGGAAAAATAGTTGAATAAAAGTCCTCAGCTGCTTGTAGAATATACAGTATTGTTCTTAAGTAAGTATGTCCTGACCTTTAAAATAGCCAGTTGTTTATGCTTTAGGATGAAAACCATGAAATTGTCTGTAGTACCTGAATGTTACCTATAGCATGACATTTTCAACAAGTACTTAAATTGCGTGTACAAAGGCTCACTTAAGTTTATGTCAGTCATGGAGCACTAGATTGAATTTGTAAAACTATACCACACTGAATTATTCCTTTTTTGGACTTACTGATGCCTCAGATTAGATAGTCACTCTGTGTCAATGTGCTTAAAGATCAGATCTCATTGGCACTGCATCTGGAGCTAAGGCTCTTCATGTGGTGAAAGCTGCCTTGTTTGTACACACCATGGGAAAGAAAAGTGCAGATGACGTTCTGCAGTGAGCAGGTTTGAACTCGGGGATTACCTCTACCACTTACTGTTTCTTGTCTCTCCCCTTTTTCCACAGTTGTATAGAAAGAGGCACATACAAAGAAAAGAGGCTCAGAGAATGCGACATGCGATGTTCCTGCCACCGTCAGCCCACTCTATCCCATTCTGTCCCATTCCTGTCTACCCCAGGTGCTATCTTACCACCTCGCTGCTTCCTCCAGGAATCATTGGTGGTGAATATGATGTGAGGCCGATACTGCCCAGTGTTGGGGACCCAGTCACCTCGCTCATCCCCAGGCCCGGGGAGACACCTAGCCAGTTTCCTCCACTTAGACCACGTTTTGATCCTATTGGCCCACTTCCAGGACCTAACCCCCTCTTGCCAGGAAGAGGTGGCCCCAACAATAGATTTTCCTTCAGACCCAACAGGGGTGGTAGGTCAACTGATGGCCGGCTACCATTCATGTGATCAGTTTGGAGACTTTATGGAAACCACGGATGCTGTTTCCTCCGATGCTGATCTCTGCTGTCAATTTCTGGTTCTGTAGGCACCAAGCACAAGGTTCCTCAAAGCTGGGCTAGTTTTGGGAATAGGTAACTGCTGGTCTCTGTGCTCTGGAATCGGCTCTGGGATAGAGCTTGTGGAACTGATGATGTTTTGTGCTAGACTAATAAAAGTAAAAATTAGTCATGGTCTTGACTTTTGTTAAAGACATACTTGGTGGTCAAACCTTAGTCAGCTGTTAATTTGCATATTTTAAAATTATCATGGTGCTTTTAAGTGAGGGGGTGATTACAGGAAGTATCTGTTTTTGTTTCTTAGTGGTGCTCATCCGGGTGAAAGCTTAGCTTACACTGAGATAAAAGCTGAGCTGGTTTGCTTGAACCTGGAAGTGGATCCACCCCTTTCCTTTCTTAGCAGCTTTTCTGGATTCTGTGAGGAAATTCTAGGGCTCTGAAGATTGTTGGGTTGATACAGACTCTTTACCGCCTAGGATTTCCTCCTTGCATTTCGGTATCATGACAGTGAGCCTTAAAAGCAGAATTCTTTCTGTGCTGTCAGGGACTTGTTCTTCAAGGACAGCCCCCTTCCCCCCCCCGCCTTGTTGGGGGAATGTTGTGCTTTTAAGACATTTTTAAAATACTCAAAATTCAACATTTATTTATTCTACAACAAGAGAAAGCCCAAACACAAGTGACTTGCACAAGTAACTATAAGAACATGCTCTAATGACACATTTAAATTGGAATTGCTATACAGGAATAAATTACTGTTAGCATCTGTAGGAAATAGAAATAGTGCTTATGTCTTTCTGTTTTTAAAAACCTGCTTTGCATATTAGGAAATGGCTTGGAATATGTGCTGCAGGAATATTTTGAGTCCTATGTGAGTGAGACTGCTACATGTGTGTTCTGAGTCTTTGCATCACAGTGAAGAAATTTCAGTCTGATATTTCTAGATGCCATGTGAGGATTTGGACTTATGTGTCTATGATCTACAGGACAGTCTTAATGTCCACTGAATTCCATAGGCTTCATTTGGGTGTGGCTAAAGGGGTAACCCTGAAGTTTTGATTGATCTACATTCTACTTCAAAATATGTCTTTGTGGCTAGATGTTGAATTGCTGCATGTAGTGTGTGTGTGTGTGCATGTGTTTGTGTGCACATATGCATGCGACAGTGGGTGCATTACTAGGCATGGGAAACAGTGAAGACCTGAGCACCAAATACAAACTTACAGAACACAGTCAATTGCAAATGGAACCTGGGGCCCCTGATGATGCTCTTGTCCAGCATCACTGGACTTAACTGGCAGATTTTGCAAGTCTTGAGTTTAAGATATTAACAGAGTGCTCTAAACCTAAACTTAGATAACTCTCAAATTTTTTTATTAAAGAGTCCTCAAAGCATTTCCTCTTCACCAGCAGCTAATTTTATATTTAGAAGCTTAAAAAGCATCCTTGTCATTAGGCTTCTGAGCTTTTATGTATTGCTGATAACAGTGACTGAAATCATGTCTTGGCAGCAGCTCGTTCACTGCATGGCTTTGTGATGTCATCTCCATGCATTGTAATGGGAGCAGGGCAGCCTAGAAACCCAAGGCAAGCGCTTAAGAATGGTGCAGCTCCAGTGCATTGGCCTTCTATGTTCTCCAAGTCACTTTTTAGTAATAGAAACTTGATTCTCCTCCCCTTAACCACTATAAACAGCCTTTTGGCATGGTTGGTAATTCAGTCTTGGGAAGAAACCTTTCCAACTTGTGACTCCCTGGGTAAAGTCCTGAATTCTGTAGTTCTTTTCTTAGTTCTCATTTGCTGGGGCCACTGCTTCATATCTCCATAATTCTTAATGGGTCGAGTTGGAGATTCCTCCTTTTTCTTCTGTTCAGAGTTGGTTCCAAGGCCTGTTTTCTTTCTATTTGCCTATTTGAGCCTTGCAGAAGAGCTGGGCAGGTGCTCTGCAGTGCCTTACTGCTGGCAATGCTTTGTAAAAACTGTATGGATAAGGGTATTGCAGTGTGCGAGGCAAGTCATGTAAAGATGTGTGGACACATTTGCCTCACTTGGCCTGGAGGAATGCTGATAGGCTGACTAGCAATTGAGCCTTTAGGCCCTACCTCTCTGTATCCCCAGTGTTGAGATTATAAGTGCTCCTCACCATGCCCAGCTTTTCAACATTGGTTCTGATAATTGCATGCAGGTCCTTGTCCTTGTACTGCGAACAGTTAACCAACTGGACTATCTCTCCAGCCCCTAAAGATGCTAACTTATTGTTTTCATCACTGGGAATCCCAAGTGAGTTGTAATGCTTGTTTCTCATATTCCAAAGTAAAAGTGTTGGGTCTAAAAAGTGTTAACTCGCTTCTGGAGACTCGATTAATAGCTATGGGGTTTTTTCTTCTTTGTCTGCCAGTTAGATCTGAATATGTAACCTGCATATGCATGTTGTATCAGTCTGGGCTTGTGTTTTGTGGGAATGCAGAGCTTCTGTGTCCTTTATACTAAATGGACCAATTTGGCTTGCTTTGTCACCCAACCTTCACATTGGTTTCAATCAAGCCTGAAGTCGTGCCTCCTATTAAAGTCTAAATATTAAACAATTTAATATAATCAGCTACCCAGGTTGAGGACAGCATCTGGCCCTTAACAGTTGTATCATCCGGCTTGGCTCTGAGAGAAATTAGAGACACAATGTGCAAGGGCTCTTGCATAAAATGGGCTGGTCCCTGTGATAATTATGTTACCACTTGTATGTGCAAGGTTGCCTTAACCAGCTCCTGAGATTAAACTGTAGCTAGCTGTTCACCACTTCTGAGTACACAAAATGAGCCACCAAGCTCCTTCATGAAGCTGAACAAAGCCCAAGAGGTTGTCCTGCTGCTGGGAGCTGGTGCACACTGTCTGGGGGTGCTATGTTTAATTGGTACAGCCTGCAGAGCTCTCATGTAGAAGGCCATGGGTCTTCCTTTCCTGGGTCTGGGCCTTTGCAATGAGTGTCAGTGGCATGGTACTGGAGTGCCCACTGCCACCTTCTCTGACCCATGTTGACCTTGGCAACTCCCTGGCCTCCAGAAAGTTGTGTGCCCCAGGCGTACGTTCCCCAGGGGTTAGTGCCTCAATTTCGTCCTGTCTGCTCCCCTTCCTTTCCAGATTCAGTGCAGGGGACATCTTTGGGGGTTAAACAAGATGGGGGGGGGGAATTGTCACTGATAATAGTTTCAAGCATTTTTCTATTTTCTCTTTCTACTGATCTTTCTGTTGGTTTGAGGTTTGATTTTGGGTAAGCAACTTCAACTGAAGTCTTAGGGAAATATCCCTTCTCCAATCTTAATCTGTCACATACACATTATTAGTTTCCTTTCTAGGAGAGTAATCTAAAGAGTCCTGAATATCTAACTGCCACTGAGCAGCCGTTCCAAGTGCCTGTGCCAGATCCCAGGTGCCCAGCCAGCCTGCTTCCTTGGTGCCTCTTTCACAGCTCTTCACCTGGAGGCAATGGCTATTCAGCTTCATGGAGTTCTCAGTGATTTTTTTGAGTGATGGACTGTCATATCTGATTCCTGGGGGATAGAAGCAACTGCATGCTAGGAATGGATGAAGCAACCCAGAAGCCTTGGGGAATTAAGGAACAAGAATTGGGTGCCGGTATTCTGTGCCTCAAAAGTTGATTCTACACCAACCAAAGTTCATCCAGCACCATCTTGTCCAAATGATGGGAAGGTCTGGTGGAAGCTTGTTCTGGCTGTTTTGAGGTTTCTTTTGGGAGTGTTTGGAAGTCCCTATTTATTATGCACTAATTGAATGGGTCTTTGTTGTGTCTCAGCATCACTAAGTCAGCGTGGAGGGGAAATGCTATTCTGTGGGTCAATGTTATAAAAGCTAGCAAAACCCAATAAATACAGTCTTTCAGAATCTATTTGCAGTGACTCCCCCACCCCCTTTCCTTTTGCCCTTTTCCACCTGTAAATGTCACAATTGAAGGTTAAAGTTTTGGGAGCAACATGTCCTAGCCTATGGGAAAATAATCATTTGGAGAGAAATGTGGTTTCCATGGGACCTGTATATACTTTTGGCCTCTGTTTGCATTTCCAGGCCAGTTGGAAATTATTTAAAAGAGCTGGCTACAGTCTAGAGTTACATCATGGACCTAGACATGTATGGTTATAAAAATCAGCATGCCTGGCCTGATTTAGATTTTGAAAGGCATTTGTGCTACTGTAGTTGGGATCCTGGAGGGATGTCATTGAATGCTGAGATATATTTAGGGACAGAATCTAAGTGAGAACATTATGGCCAAATGGTCATTTATGGAGCCATTGGTTCTGTCCATCAAAGGGGCAGGTCCCCAGCAGGGCTGGAGATCGAAGCATATCTTTCCCTGCCTGCTTCAGAATGGTAGCCCAACTTCAGCAGACCTCCAGAACATTCAGAGGCTGATCCAGCTGCAGCTCTGAGCCCTCTAAAACTTCATAGTCCTGTGTGATCTGAAGCAAAGCTCCCTGAGCCTTTATAACTTGTTCTGTCCAGGGCCATGGCCTACACTGTGAGAAACTTCTGCTGCCAGTTACCACTCCACTGTGTCAGGAGCCTGTGTTTTAATGTTGAGACTGGTGTAGAATGACAGCTGCCACAGGGTTTCCTATGTTCTTAACCACCTAAAGCATGGCTTTCTGATGTTACTCCCAGCAGTATATGCCTTGCCTCTCATCCTTTTCTAGAATGCAAGGTTCCTCCTCTGCCTGCCTGCTTGTCTGTCTCTGTCTGTCTGTCTGTCTGTCTTTCTTTGTGTGTGTGTTGTGACTGAATCTTACTGACTGGGTCAGAACTTTCTACAGGAGCAACTTGAGCTGTTATTGTCAGGGCCCGGGTAGGCCCTTTAAGCCCTTTAGTCTTGTGAGGCTGTTCTGATTCCCTCCACATGTGTCTCATGAGTGAGTCCTGGCTTCTCAAGGTCTGGTGGCAAAGCAGTCTTACTGAGGCAAGTATGAAGACTCCCTAGGAAGTCTGAAATACGACAATGAGGTTTTAAGATGTTACATTTTAATGTGTTCATTCTGGTCATTAGCTAGGCACTGTGTGTGTGTGTGTGTGTGTGTGTGTGTGTGTGTGTGTGTGTGTGTGCGCGCGCGCGCATTTGAGAGAGAGGTGCAAGGGCTAAGTCAGAGCAGAGGAGGAGCAGGAGGAAGCAACATTGGACTCATAGACTGATCTTTTTTCTTCCTTTGGATAACCTATCTAAAGTGTGGGTGGGGGGTGCTGGCCTCAAGACCTTCTCTTACCAGAGAAAGGGGAGGGTTAGGAGAATGCACTGACAGTTTTGCTGTGTGTCTCACCATATTGCCCTCAGAAACATTCTGGAAGTTTTTGCCAGCTGCATTCTGTGCTAGAAGGGCAGCTGATCAAAATGAGGGAGATGTAGGTATACCCCAGGGACTGTCCCGCACATACTGAATTCATGAAAATTAGAGAGGAATAAAAGAGCTTGGGCTTTGTTGTTACTGGGAGGGGTACTAGGCCTTCAGCAGTTCACTCACTTCACAGCACAGCATATTTGGCCTAAACTCTGCATTTCCAGTTCCAAATTGTGGCCTTGGTGGTCACTCTACCTACCTGATGTTACAATCTTATGTCACTGCTGCTACCTACCATTCCAAACTAAGGATGTGGAAAGAGAGGCCAAATAGGGCTTTGGAAATAACTCTAATGAACTTGCTCTCAGTATTGACTGTCCCATGAGGGAAAGAAAAGGCAAGAAGGAAGAGGATGACCCTGAGGACAAACTGGATCTCTGCAGCCAGAGCTACCACTTTTTATGCTGAGTTGATCCCTGCTGGAAACTAGCTTGAAGGTGCATTCTGCAGAAATGCAGGGTTCTAAGCGAGTCAAGGCATGAGAGGTTCTCTACCCTGTCTCTGCCACTCCAGTCTGGGCTGGGAGAACCAAGAAGTGATGAATGCTTGTTGGGTGTGGTGATTCATGAGTATAATATCAGCACTTGGGAGGCTTATAAAGCAGGAGAATCAGCTTTTGAGACTTGTGTGGTTACACAATAAGTACTAGGCCAGCCTGAATGAGTGAGACTGTTTTAAGAAAACAAACTCCCCAGAAACATAGTGACTGCTTCTCTGCACCTGGAGACCTGAGGAAGCCTCAGATGATCACCAAGTAATCTGCAGAACTTCAACAGAAACAGAAGCTGCTTCAGTTAATAACTCCTCTTTCCCTCACATAGTTCAGGGAAGGCACACCTTGGGTAGCTAAGGGGGCTGTGCAGAGAAACATGGCTATTCTGATGTCCTGGGTCTTCTGGGATTAGGAGGCTGCTTCTGGCACCTGCAATGTTTCTAGCACCAGGTGCTTGGTGATGTGAACCTAGGAGGCAGTCTGATACAAGGGAAAGAGCACTGGAAAGGGAATTGGGACCATTTTGCCTAGCAATGCAGCAAACCATCTTAGTCACCATGGGTAGGCTGAAACAAGGTTGGAGTGAAACTTTCTGGAAGACATTCCAAAAGGCTTCATTGTCTCCCGAAGAAAAATATGTGCACTGTTTTTGAAGGCTGTCCCACAAGGAGACTGTCTGTAAATGAAGTGGCGTTCTTGACTCCTTTTTCAGAGCAGATAAAATGCTGAATCAGAATTCATCACTGTGTCTTCTGATCCTGTGACAGGGAGCTATCTATCCACCTTTAAGAAGGAAAAAGAACAGATTCTCTGTGAAGTCAGTGTGAGGACAGAGAGGCACCGTCCTCCTATGATGCTCTCCCCAGGGAACATAAGCTCTTTCTTCTGGATTCCTGCTGTTGGCTCTAGGCAGGGGTGGCATTATGTGGGTTCCCTCTGTTCTCTTCTAGCCCCACTTGTTGCACAGGATCTAGCTTTGTTCTATTGACATCAAGGTGTCTATGAGGGCCAGCTGTGATGGGGCCTTTGTCAGCCTGTGCCCAGCAAGGGTGGCACCAGCTTGCTGTTGGATGAGTAGTAGGCTCCCGGTTGGGCTTTCCTATTTTTGTTTACAAAAACACCATTAAAAAGTATTGCCTCTTGTGTTGCTGAGGTCTGACTACAATGTATGCATTTGATGGAGGTAAGTCAAGGCCTAGAAGGGGACCTCCACCTAAAGGCAAGAAAAATACAAGTAAGAATGCAAAAACAAGCCACACAGACATCTCACTTGGTACCAGTGGCAGGGGAGCAAGCATATAGTGGGTGTAGTAGTGCCTTGTCTGTCTAGAAGGCCTGTGTTGAGGAACCTAAGGGCTCTCGAGGCTACTATTCAGTCAGACAGCAATGGAATGTCATGGTAAAGGAGACGGGAATGCATGTAGATCACTAGTTCCTGGGTCAGGAAGCATGTTTCCACCAGGAAGCAAGGCTAAGAAAGAATCAGAGAAAGGCTCTAGTCATTGAGTCTTCCCGCCCTCCTGCCCTCCAGCCTGGGCTGTTGCTAGTCAGAGAAGAGGCTGGCAAAAGACTTCCTCAGGTTGCGGATGGTCTCAGCCTTGGCCTCATCTTCGCTTGGGGTCCCTCGATGGGAGGCATCAGATGTGCTGAGGCTGTTAGTCAGGGACTGAGATTTGCTGAAACAGAAAGCAAAAGTTTGGGGATAGTCATGGCTGGAACCCCCATGAAAATGAGTCTGCGGTTGGCCCTGAAGCCCACTGGATGGTGAGACCAGAAATCAGGCATTACAGTGTGTACACGATGCTAGCCTAACGTTTGCAAGGTGGGAGGTATTGTCCTCATTTTCTTAGGTATAGAAATTGGGGTTCCCAGAGTATTTGACTTGGATAAGCCTTCTAGCAAGAAGTAGGGTATGTACACTGCTTAGATTATTACCCCCCCCCCCTTTCAAGGCTGCTCTGATTTGTGGGGCTGTGTCAGCCATGGTGGGCTAACAGGCTCCAGTTATTCCCACAGGGTTTCCAGCATTAGTTGAGAAATCAGGCAATCCCTGTTCTAGGTTCCTTCTCTCATTGAGGGATCAGAGAGGCCCTTGGGCATGTCTGTGGAGGACTGCCTTGACTGTTAATTGATGTAGGATGGTTCAGCCACTGTAAGCAGCACCATTCCCTGGACAGGTGGTTTCGGGCTATATGAGAAAGCTATGTGAGCATGAGTCAGTCAGCAAATGAGGAAATCAGCAAATACCATTTTCCCCATAGTTTCTGCTTCCTGTTTGAGTTCCTTTCCTGATTTCTCTCAATGATGAGCTGTGAACTGGAAGTTAAAACAAATCTTCCCCTCCCCTAAGTTGTTTAGAAAATTGTTTTAAAAAGATTTTATTTGTATTTTATATGCATAGGTGTTTTGCCCTCATGCATCACATGCATGTAGTACCCAGAGGGGCCAGAAGAGGGTGTCAGAGCTCCCGGAAATGGGATACAGACAGGTTTTTTTTTTCCTTTAATCGTTGTTTATTCACTTACTTAATATGAACCAAAGACTGTTCAAACCACTTTAAACTAGATACCTACAACAACCTTTACTAGGTAGCTGCCATTCTCACCTCCACTTTACATAAGGGAAGGTGGAGTCACAGAAAAATTCAGCAACTTTCTGAAGATAACTTAGCTGTAATTGGACAGAACTGGAATTCCTGGCAGTTCAGCTCTATGTTGCATCATAAAATTATTATGTTGGGGTTTTCTTTTTTTTTTTTTAATTCTTTATTAATTACACTTTATTCACTTTGTATCCCCCCCTTACAGACGGTTTTTTAAGATGCTGGGAACTGAACCCTGATCCTCTGGAAGAGTGGTTTTTTTTTTTTTTAATTTTTTAATTAAAAAAGGACTAAATTTTATTGACAAACTGCTGCAGACATTTTGACATAAGTTTAAGCTACCTATTTAGGCAGACTTACACATGTAGCATTTAATCTAACACAAACAAAATGGGAGGATGGTACAAATCCATTAGGACTTTAACTTATGTAGAAAGTGGATTTTGATTCCTTTGGAAGAGTGTTCTTCATTAGTGGTTTTAACCACTGAGCCAACCTTCCAGCCCCTCTAAAACTGCTTTTTGCCAGAGTGTTTTTATCACAGCAACAGAAAGGAAACTAGACCAACCAGGAAACTCTTTTTCTTTAGTGGCATAAATTTGGGTTTGTCTGCTACACAGGAAGTGATGGTCTGGGGATCATGAGGACATGGTGTGGCCTAATCTGTACTTTGAAATTGCTGGTCCCTGCTCCACAAAAGCCACCCTATAGGTCTACTTCCCTCCATTTGAATCCTAGGCAAGACTTTGTTGGGTTCTCTTTTAGTTCCTGGCCCTGAATCAACTCATCTTTGGACATGCTCCAGCTCTATACCTATTCAGGCTCCCAAATACTTACTTGAGGTGCGGGTGAGGTGATGCTAGTTTTTGGGGCTCCTCACCCTGCTGGGAGGTGCTGCGGCCCTGCACAGGTGGCCGGGGATGAGAGCTGAGGCTGGCACTTGGCTTGGAGGCCTGGTTTGGAGAGTTGCTACCAGATGCCCTGGATAGCTGTGGAGAGCCTGGTGACCTTTGCTGTTGTGGAGATCCTGACTGGGGGCTCACAGGCTGCTGGCCTTGTGGAGAAAGCCTCTGTTGGGATGGACTTCTAGATCTGGGAGGCTGAGGAGACTGAGCCTGACGAGGGGCCCCTACAAGCCAAAGAAAGAGTTAAAGTTCAATTTGTCTTAGAAATAAATGTGGCTGTGCACTCAGCACATGTTTATTTATTAACATATTGTTTATGACTGAAAACTAAAAACAACACAGATGCCAGATCTCAGGGAGGTGGTTAGGAACACCAAGAAACAACTAGATGGCTGGGAACGTAGTTCAGTTGGTGAGGTACTTGTCTACCTGTAATTGATTCCCAGCACAGTTAGGCATAGTGATGCATGCCTGTAGTCCCAGAATTCAGGAGGCAGAGACAAAAAGATGAAGAGTTCAGAGTCAGCCAGGTGTGGTGGTGCACACCTTTAATCCCAGAACTTGAGAGGTAGAGACAGGTGGGATGTCTATGAGTTTGAGGCCAGAACAGCCAAGACTACACAGAGAAACCCTGTCTTGAAACAAAAAGATTTCAAAGTCAATGTTGTCACTGATGCTGCAGAGGATTCAAGACCAGACCCTGTGTCAAAACAAAACAGCCACCAGAAAACATCTAGATAATGGAGTGTGGGCGGACTGTCACATGTGTCGGCAGTAACATTAACTGATCTGTTGGCAGTATGTGCCTAGTATACAACACTAAACAGAAAGAGAAAACGCAGTTTATAGATAGTGTAGATTCGTTTTTCATTTTGGCATTAATGTATGGACCACATAATAAAGAAACATTGGAAAGCTGCATATTATAAAGGGTGGACCACGCACTCTGCTTAGAAAAGATGGGCCTCACAACCATTCAGTGTACAGGTGTATTTGTGCGGCAATTACTTCAGGATAGGGATTTGGCATGGTGTTATAGACAGAAATATGTTTTCTTAAATTAATGTTGATACCCTAATCCTCAGTGTGACTGTATTGGAGACAGGGTCTTTAAGGAGGTAATTAAGGTTAAAGGTCATGGGGTGAGGTTTTGATGCAAATGGGGATGGAGTCCTTATATGAAAAGGAAGAGGCAATCAGGAAGATCTACAGAGACAAGTGTAGTGACCACATCTGTAATCCCTGCCCTTAGGAAGCTGAGGTGGGAGGGCTGTGGCAAGTTTTAGGATAGGCTTGATTCTACAGTGAATTTCAGTCCAGCCTGAGTTTAGAGAGAGATACTATCAAATACCAAGACTTAGTTCCCATTTGGTGGACGACGTAGTTCTCTTTCTAAAGAGAATAAACATAAGGAAAATACCAATGGATTCTTAGCTCTGTGAAAATAAAGAAGGGAAGACCAGGGCCTTAGGCAAATGGCAAGTCCCTCTGTCACCAAGGGGGCATCCCCTACTAACCACCAGGGGATGCTGGGTAGGAAAATAGGTTGAGTATTTCTAAAACATCTGTGTTTTCCAGAGAGTGTTGACCAGGAGTGGGGTTGGGAGACTTAAGATAAAATCCAGATGTTTAAGTAAAAGTTTTATGATTTTTGTATGTTGACTACTTTTTTTTTTTTTCTCAACAGAATTCAGGTCACAAAAACATCTTTTTCTTCTTTCATCTTAAGCTCCTCATCCCTACCCCCAGGTTGATACTATCTTGGAAAGTCTGTGTCTTGGTTCAGTAACTAATTAACTAATTTTTATGTTTCTGTTTTACCCCTGGGGTCCATTAAGAGATACTTCCATTATTTCTTACAGCTTTTTGGCAAAGCAAACAACTTAGTATTTTTTTACTTGATCATATACTATGTCTCTCTCTCTGTGTGAATGTGTGTGTGTGATTTTTTTGTATGTGTGATTTTTCTAAGCACAGAATTGACCCTAAAAAGATGAAGTTTATGAAAAGAAAACCTGATATTCTTGAGTTCAAAAATGAGTTCAAAACAAGTCACTAGTGTGATCCTGTTATTTATAGAAATTGGTGAAAATGTTTTAAAATTAGTCCTGTTATTTTTGGTCTGAATGTTAATTCACTGAGCATTTCCTTTAATTATCTTAATTGGTTTTAAATTAATTATTTTCAACTCACTCACGTAGTATCTAACCACATATTTCTTAAAATAATCTTTCTTTATCAAGCATGCTTCTCTTCTGGGCCAAAGAGAAGTTCAGAACATATGAGTTCTCTGTTTTTTTTTTTTTTTTTTTAACCACAATAAAAAGTGGTTTTAAAGAGTCAGTTATGGGCAGAGTGGGAAAGGAGGGGGCAGGGCTAGGGGATTAGTAGGGTGGTGAATACAGAGTTTGGGGCCATTTGTAACTATGGTATTATTGTCAGGTTGGAGGGGAGAAGGGCTACATGTGCCAGAAGGATTGCTAATGAGAACTGCAAAAAGCAACCTATCATTTAGAATTGCTGGCAAGATGGCAGGTATTAATAGTAAGAGCTGTGTAATTGTCATTAATAGTAAATTATTAAGGAGGACTGAAGCCCTGTAAATACCACCCTCTTTGTTGAACCCCTTCCTAATGGCCATCAAAGATATCCTATAGACACGGAAGCTGTTATTTCCTCCATTTGCAGGGGTATCTGCACTTACCTAAAAGAGAAAAGTGATCAGGCTGGAACTGAACAAAATGCATCTACACTGCCAGGAGAAAACTACTGTGCTTCATACAGTGTATATACAGGGTTTGCTTTAGTTTGTGTCTTAAAGGGCCCCAAAGCTCTGTTAGAGGCTTAGTCCTTTTTTGTGTCATTCTGAGGATAAAGTAGAAGGGGCAGGGTGTATTGGAAGTTAGGTCCCTGGGCACATGCCCTTGAAAGGGAGATTTAATTCCTTTCTCTCTGTGTTTCCCTGCTGTCATGTCTTTCTTCATGACATGCTCCTACTGCTGTGAATACTATGTCATCACAGGACCCAAAGCAGTGACTGCACATCTGAAACAGGATCCTTTTAAAATTTATTTCAGGTGTTTTGTTTTGATGGGAAGCTCACCAACACAGTGGTAGGCCCCTGCCATCATCTCCCTTTGTTAAATTTCTGCTGCTTTTCCCAGGGTGTGGGTGGAGGACAGCATAGACCTAGACAAGAAAGATGGATGGGCAAGCCCTGCATGAGGCTAGCAGGTTACTGTCCACAAAATTACTCTTACTGTTATTTATTGTGAAGGGATCTGAGTTATTCAAGCCGTGGAGACTTGTCACTATAGAGAATAAAATAAAATTTCAGGAGAAAGTCTCAGAAATAAATGGGGAAGGCTAACTGTGGCTTCTCGAATAAACACAGTTTTGGATATGCGATTATATGGCTCCTTCCTCCTTCTGTGTGTGTGCATATCTGTGTGGGCACAACCTGCCTGTGGAGGTTTTTTTTTTTTCCCCCTCAAGCTCTCCAGTAGCCTACTTAACAAACTGGCCTCAGAGATTCCCTCCATCTCCACCTCTTCAGCTCTATTATTACAAATATATTACATAGTGTTACAAACATAGACACATTCATGTGTTTGTTTGTTTGTTTGTTTGTTTTGTTTTCAGTATGGGTACTAGAGATGGACATCAAGTCCTCATACTTGCAAGACATGCCCTTACCCAGTAAGCTGTCTCCTCAGCCTCCCACTCCTTATTTGGAAACAAGATCTCATAGTGTTGCTTAGGGTGGCCTGACATTGAACTCACTTGGTAGCCCAGGCTAGCGTAAACTCACAGCAATCCTCATGTCTCAGTTGTTTTGTTTTGTTCTTATGCTGGGATTACAGACGTGACTCATCATGCTTTGCTTGTTATATTCTGAGAAGACTGAACACAGACAATGAGAATTAAGATGCCACCTAACTAGTCAATATAATTTTGATTACTGTGTATACATTTGGAGTATATTGGGGATCAGTCAGTTTCAAAGGCATTTATATAAGAAAGTAAGCTAATCTGGAGGGTTATGTTAAGTAAATAAGGTAATGGGGAAAGGAAGGAAAGAGAGAGAGAGAAGGCTGAAAGGGATGGAGGGAAGAAGGAGGGAGCTGTTTTTCCTAGAGCTGTGGAAGAGGAAGCCATCTGGTGCCCAAGGCCCATTTCCTCCAAGAAGCAACAAATTTGTTGCTTTAATAGATGTGACTAGAAAGCTCAGGATGGGATGGAAATGCCTTCAGTCGAGATTGCAAGGAGATCTCCCACCTTGGCATCTCCATGCCAAGATGAAGCTCCAGCTGGCCCAGAGCATCCAGGCTCAGCAAACTGATCTGCTGCAGGAGACATGCTTCCTGGGCGCTCCTCTTGAGCCCATGCATGGGAACCTCCACAACTGACCTTCCTCCAGCAAGTCTTTAGCTATTCTCATGATATCTCCTCCTCTTGCTGTCCATTCTGTATCTACTCTCTAACAAGCGGTGCCTCTTTTGGAGCAGGGTAGGGATGGTTTTTAGAAGAATGGCTGAAGGTTTAATGTTCTGGGCTTCTTTCTTCTTTCTCACTCTAGCTGATTGGCTCACAAATGCATACTCAGGCACCACTAGTGGCTAGAAATAACATTTCCCAGAAGGTTTGAAAATCCAGGCTTGTAAACCTGCTATGTTCTCGTTGTGCCTTCCTGGCAAAGCTTCAGTTTCCTACTTGGGAAAAGGGAAACATTGATGCTTCCTCTGCAAAGCTGCTGGGAGGATGAAAATGTGAGTATAGGAGGGAATGGCCCTAACCCAGGGCCTGGCATGCCCTCTTAGGGTCTTCATTCTGCAGATGGAAGAAGTGTGCATAGCCCAAGGATAAAGTTCAAGATGGATTGTCTATAACAGTGGTTCTCAACCTATGGGTTGTGATCCTTTTGGAGGGGCAAGCAACCCTTTCACAGGGGTCACCTAAGACCATCAGAAAACACAGATATTTATATTATGATTCACAACAGTAGCATAACTACAGTTATAAAATAGCAACAAAAATAATTTTATGGTTGGGGGGGTCACCACAACATGGGAAACTGTATTAAAGGGTCAAAACATTAGAAAGTTTGAGAGCTACTGCTCCAGCAACACATTTTTATTGATTTAGTTATTATTTAATTACTCTGTGTATATGTACACACCCTTGGATGTGCAAATGGAGGTCAGAGGACACTGAGTGTCTTCCTCTATTGCTTCCTACCTTGGACAGTTTAGACAGTGGTCCTTAGCCTTTTTAATGCTATGACTCCTAAATACAGTTTCCTATGTTGTGGTGACTTCCATTAAATTATTTTGTTGCAATCTGAGCACAGGGGTCTTTCCTGAGACTGATACTCCATCCAAGGACCATGCATGGAGATAACCTAAGACCTCTGCACAGATGTAGCCCATAGCAGTTCAGGGCCCAAGTGGGTTCCATAATAATAGGAACAGGGACTATCTCTGACATGAACTCATTGGCCTGCTCTTTAATTACCTCCCTCTGAGAGGGGAGCAGCATTACCAGGCCACAGAATAAGACAATGCAGCCACTCCTGATGAGACCTAATTGACTAGGATCAGAAGGAAGGAAAAGAAGACCTCCCCTATCAGTGGACTTGGGTAGGGACATGCGTGCAGAGTGGGGAGGAAGGGAGGGATTGGGATGGGAGAAGGGAGGGAACCACAGGGGGGATAAAAAGTGAATAAAGTGTAATTAATAAAGAAAAAATGTAAAGACCTAATTAGAAAAAAAAAAGACACTCAGCTTTAAAACTTAATGAAAGAAAATTAGAATGGTAAGAAAACTCATGAGAAACAAGAGCAGAATTAAGAGCACAGAGAATAAACTGGAAGACACTGAGTAATGGCAGGATGGGGAGAAGAGAAGAGAGGATCAACATAAACAATCTGTTTGAATATGTCAATTAAAATAATAAAATTGTAAAAATAAATGATATTCTAATGCATGTACAATAAAAATTATTTTGTTGCTACTCCATTAACTGCAATTTTGCTATGATTATGAATTTTAATATAAATGTCTGATATGTAGGATATGTGATATGCGACAAAAGAGGGGTTGTGACCCACAGGTTGAAAAGCACTGCTTTATATAGTCTCTCATTGAACCTGAAGCCTGCCATGTCAGCTAGAAGTCTAGCTGACTACTTGGCAGCAAGTGCCCAAGAACTCTCTTCCCCCAGTGCTGCTGCAACAGGCTTGTTTGGCTATGCCCAGCTTGTTTATATGAGTGCTGGGTTTTAACTCAGGTTCTCATGCATGCACAGAAGAAGCTCTTACTGGTGAGCCACCTTTCAATGCTCTCAGTGATACAATATTTCTCAGTGTTTGTCCTGTGTCTTACCTTGTGGAGGTGGCCTTGGCTGTGGCTGTCCTAGTTGAGGTCCTAGCTGGCCTTGTCCTGGAGATTTTGCAGGTTTAGTCTGTGGACCCTAGAGCAAGAGAAAGGAAGCCTGTGGCAACAGCATTACTGGGTGGGAGGAGAGGCTTTATATAGGTATCCTTTTTTTGAACTCCACGATAGAATGATTCTTAAGTGTACCTCATGGTAGATGTTCAGCATAGTCATAGCAGATGCTGCAAATGTCCCCTCCCTCCCAGAGGGAGTAGTTAAACTCCCTCCCTTGAGTTTAACTACTATTCCTGTGTCTATGAAAAGATGAGTTTCTGTGGGATAAGCAGAGACTAGAGTTGGGGAGAGGATTTGAAATATGCTGGCAAATTCTTTTAAGAGTGGTCTGGTGGTCCCTGGTGGGCTCTGTGCAGGGGAGAGGTGGGAGCTTGCTGGGTTGGGGGATGGTGAAGCAGGAGACATAATAGCCTCTATTGACTTGTGCCCTGGGAACACAGGGCATATGTGTCTATATATTCTTGCATACACAGGTGCATACACTTATGCTCAGGTTCAAGATGGAGACACTGAGATGAGCACTTTCAACAATCTTTCCAAAGACTGATGGAACAAGGAGTTTTCTTCCTAGGGAATATGTGGAGGAGGGGCCCCTGCATGGCTGCTGCCAGCCTCTGTCCTCACCCCATTCTCCTATATGATGCCTCCCTGGGGTTATCTCCATTGGATCCAGAGGGTTTTCATTCCAGAGCCACCAGTCTCTTTTGTTCTCAAGTGAATCTTACCCAAGGTCTCAGGGGTGAAGGTACTGTGCCCCCTGGCACCAGGAGTTGGCTCATCTTGGAGACAACAAGGTCAGCCATTAACTGCTTGTCCTCTTCCACGTGTTCTCCAATCAGGGGCATTGAACTGTCCATGACCTAGGGGGTGAGAAAGGGGGATGAAGAACCCTGAATAGTTTGGTTGGTTCCAGGAGTATTGACACTGGGCTCAAGACAGCATGACCACTAGATGGCAATGTCCTCCACACAAAGTGCTCAGCTGGGCCCTCAGCTGACTTCCAGTTCTCTCTAGTTCCTTCCGAACAGACTCCCTGGAATAAATTCAACTTAGCCTCCACACGCTGGAGTCCAGTAATGTGACCTGAACTTTTCTGTACTTTTCTTTGGGGCATTGGTCCCCACCCCCTCATTTCCCACTCCACCTTTCTCCCAGAATTGGGGCTGCCCCCCCTTCTGACCCAAGGTTAAGAATGGCCTTAGAGCTGGAAACTGGTGAGGGCTCAATTATAACAACAACTAAAAAATTGACACAGGCTGGAAGTGACTGAAGGTTAACAGAAAAGACAGAAGAGGAAAGACAGTGTCCTTGCCCCCCCCCCCCCCCCCCCCATCTCCCCGTAGGACACAGGCCTAAAATAAAACTCATTTTACTGGGAACCAGGCTGTTTTTAAGGAAGAAGAGATGGCAGTCCTGGGAGGTCAGAAGATGGGGAAACTGAGGCTCAGAGATGAGAGCCCCTGTCAAACCCTCTTTGCCCTTTGCTCCAGGATGAGGTAATCAGACACTCTTCATTTCTAGATCCTGTACCCAACTCTCTCTGCCCACCTTTCCCTGGCTAACTCCTTATCCATCATGAAACACTTAGTCAACCCTTCCTTCCTGAAGCCCTTTAAGGCAGCACAAATTCCTAGGAGCGCCTCTGTACCCATGTCTTTGCTGAGCTCACACAACTGTCCCATTGAAGCGCTTAGTCCCAGAACTGTCATTTACCATCTGTAAGCCCGCAAAGTCAGGGTGTCCTGTGTCCTGGAGGAAGCAGGGAGTTTCCTGCTCACTACAGTTTCATTGAGCCCTTATGCTATATGGGACACTATTCTAAGACCCAGGTGATGATGTCAGCTCTATTGCAGAGCAGCACTTTTCAGGGCTCAAGATGTGACTAGAATGTTCACCTTGCAGGCATTGGGGCCTTGGCTTCCATCTCCAGCACCTATTCCTAGATACCGAATTTGAGGGCAGCCTGGGCTACATGAGACTCTGTCTTAAAAGATGAGATGAGAAAAGTGACTGGTAAGTTCTATAGCACCTCTTGACCAGGTATTGGGCAGCTCTGCAGTAAGACTTCAGATGAGGCAGCCAGGATTTCAGGCCCATGTTTTGCTATGGACTGGCTTGGGGGAGAAGTTTCTTGTCTTCTCTGGGTCTATTTTCTGTCAACTGTAAACTAAGGGTTCAGGCAGCTGCTAAGACCATTCTGGCTGTGACTTTCAGGAGACTGTGAGTCCAAGCACCCAGTGTGCCTCGGAAACTGAAAAACAAACTAGGGTATGGTTATGGATCCCAGGAAGCCTGTCCCCAAATGAAGTTCTCTAGGCTCACAGGCAGTCTCCAGTTACAGTGCTGGAGTCTGTCCCCAAAGTTGCTGGACTCCCAGCAGCACTCTGCCTGTCACTCTTCCCTCCAATTTTGCCCACTTTCTGTCCTGGATTGTCCCCCACATTCTCAGCAGTGGAAAACATGGAGCCTGAGGTCAGGAACTGGAATCCCCACAGTGGACACAGCCAAAGGAAGTGGACACTCATTCTTACCAGGGAAACATCCCCCCCCACGATAACCAAGGTCATCCCCTGGCCCGGGTCAGAGAGGATGAGGTCCTCACTGAATGTGTCACACAAGTGCTGTTTTCACACAGATGTGCCTGTGAGACAGTGTTTTTGGATCTTTGCTGCCTCTTTTCCCCTTACTGGAAAAAATACATTTTATATTCCTAGAACAAGCTCCTTCTATTCCTGATCCCACCCCAACCCCAAAAGGAAAACAATTTTTTTAAATGTTTCTGAGAAATAGAAAAAATCTGAAAGCCATCTTTTGTTTGTTTGTTTGTTTGAGATTTTTCTGGAAAGTTGTTTTCTTGTGTTTAGAAGACTCAAACTCGCTTTTTGTTTGTTTTTAAATGTGAAGCATCTTTCATTCTTGCCCTCCTATAGTGTCTGGAACTGGTGCATATGGATATGGAGGCTTTTTGTGAAAGTGGAGAGATCTCAGAGATCTGAGCTCGCAGCAGTGTGTGTGTGTGTGTGTGTGTGTGTGTGTGTGTGTGTGTGGTGCTGAACCAAGAGAGGAGAGAACCAGTCACTATTCTTTTTTTGTTTGTTTGTTTGTTTGTTTGTTTAACTTTTAAAGATTTATTTATGTGTGTGAATGTTTGCCTGCATGTATGTATGTGTATGCATATTCCGGATGGCTATGAGCCACCATGTGGATGCTGAGAACCAAGCCTGCAAGTTTTTGACTCTAATCCATCTCTCCTATTCCCTGGTCCTCCTAACAGGATAGCACCCCTCTCCTACTCTCTTGCCATGTTTGAGCCTTATTCAATTGGTTTAGAGCCTGGTGCCCAGAGTGAAGAAATGAGAATGTGTGATCTCAAACCAGATTTATGTTTAGTGTCCTAGTGAGGAAAGGCAATACAGGGTGGTTTGACAGGTGCTACTGATGTCCCGCGTGAAGTGGCCCTTGACTTACCTCTGTTGTAGTAATAGTCAGAGGGAAAGTGGATTCTGGCTGAGATGAGGATGGGTTCTACACAGAAATGCTACTCACCTGGTGGTAGCATTGAGCCTTTCTGGTGAGCCAGTATTGAGACTGGGCTCACCAGAGTGTCCTGGGCTCCTGACCCCACTGCCAAGGGAGCCCTCTCTGACCTGGTGGTATACCTTCCTGCACAGCTATACTCCTACCCATTCAGGTACCTGGTACTGTCTGCCTGTTGGTCCCTGAGCAGTGGGGCAGACATGAGGGACTGGAGGACTGGCTGGCTATGTGGTCATCCCAGCCATGTGCCTATCGTTAGTTGCTCACACTTGTGGAGAGGCAGCTGCCGAGGAGGGTGGCCACAGGGCTTCTCACGTGTCCTGGGCTGGAGTCAGCTCATTCCTCTTTTATGGATTGAGAAGCAAGCCTCATGGAAGGAGTGAGCTGAAAGGACTACATGTGACTGTGGAGATGGGTGGCTGGGATTGGAGGGGAGCCCTGAGGCCACAGCGGTGTTTCAGGTTAAAGTTGTGGAAGTGTTGGAGGCTGGCAGGTGGAGAAGAAAGGAGAGGAAGCTCTGAAGAGGTTAGGAAGGGGTTGTAGAGGGAAGAGGATACTGTGGGATAGAGAGATGTATGGGTTACAGAAGGCTCTGGAGAGTGATTTTGGGTCCCATTGCCCATCTGTGAACATCTCTTACAATTCTATTTCTGGTACTTGCTTCTGTCCCTCCAGCCATACTCTGTATAATAGTGTCCCTTTGCTTAATAATGCCTGTCATCTTCTCTTGCGACCTGCAAATTCTGAATCTCCTGTGCTCAAGACTGTCTCAGAGTTACCCAGTGCCTGGCCCAAGGGATCCCCTGAAGCCCACGTTTGTTGAAAGAACATAAGGATGGAACCCTTGCATAGCTTTTGAACGATGAGGACACTGGCACAGAATATTGTGGACTCTTGGCCTGACAGGCTGAGAAAAATTGTGCTCCGAGTTTTGAACTCTGAAGTCAGAGTGCTGAGCAGAAAGGCTCACACTGTTGCTGCACAGCTGAGGTGGGTGCATGAAGCATGGAGGCAGATAACTCTGGGAGTGTCTTACTATGCCCTAAGCTACATGTGGCAGGCCAGGAGCCACGACATGGCTGCCATGTTGGGATTCAGCTTGGAATTTTTCCTGCTGGGGATGGTCCTGGCTGGACCCTCCTGCTTTATTCCTCACCTCGATGATATAATCTCTGCCATCCTTGCTGTGGACAGCCTTGACAGCACAGATGTCTAGGCCGCCGAACATTTCTGAGCAGCTGTCCACCCATAGCCTGTACCTGCAAAGACAGATGACTGACAGTGAACATGGGGTGAGAAACAAGAAGTCAGAGGGAGATGGGGATTTGGGAGGGGTGGGTTCATTGTGGGGGGTGGGGAATGAAGGCAGATCAAGAAGGGAGGGGACAGCTCAAGATAAAAAGCAGGGAGAAAGAGGGTAAGAATAAAGGAGGGAAAGAATGAGAATCAATAGATCTCAGAGACTCATGGTCACCCCTTTTGCTGCCCCAGGACTTTGGCTCTGCAGCAGTAGGAAGCTTGCCTTGCCCTCACCCAGAGCCATCCAGATACCCAGACACTCCTGCAGCCCTTTTCCCTTGGGAAAGCTGCTGGAAGGCCTCTAAATAATCCCTCCAGGCTGCCCTCCCTGCTTAGAGCCCCAGCCAGACAAGAGCCTGGAGGGGACAAAGGGCCTCATTCTCCCAGAGCCCGGAGAGGGTGGGGGACAGAGGAGCTCCTTTAGACAGCTCCTGACTTGCCCACAGGCCTGGCCCTCTGGACCAATTGCTTTTGTTCCTGTTCCAGTGACTGACAGCTGCAGGGCTAGTTTGCTTTGCTGTGAACAGATCTGGGCTGTGAACTTTGACCTTACAACAAGGGGTTGGTTGTATCTGGGGAGATCTTCTGGGCTTGCACTTGGCTTCCCTTGTGGACTGGATTTAGGAGTCACAGGGGACTTTGTGTCAATGTTCCTGCTTCTTTCCACTCTCTAGGGTCACACAAGACACTCCAACTTTCAGATCTATTTGTGTGTTTGAGCCACATGACCTATAATGAGGAGGGAGCATGGTTGAAGATTTCTAAGAACACATTCTTTGATTTTATCACTATGGCCCATGGAGTTCTAGAGAGAGGGTCTCTCTCTGAGGTTAGGCAGCAAGGCAGTAACATGGTCAAGTTCATTTAGATATCCCAGAACTGGAACCTAACCCTAGTTCTCTCATCCAACCACATCCAGGTTCATGCTGGGAGTAAAAGGCAGGATGAAGACCCCCACCGACTATAATCCAACTACGTGCATTCTGTGCCTGCCAGGATAAGTCCTCTTTCCTTCCCCTATCACCACAGATTGATCAGGGAGGGAGTGTTGAACTCATTTTTCAGATGAAAAGGCTGAGGTTTAGAGAGTATGAATAACAATAGCATGGCTTCCAGACCCAGATCCTTTCTGTGACCAGGTTGTACGCAAACCCCTCTCTCTCATTTGGAGCCTGCCACATGGAGGAACTGGAGTGTGTGTGTGCACATGCTTGTGTGCTCCTCCTCAAGCACATGTGTGGGTGCAGGCATGTTGGTTAGGAGTACATGTATACATGCATGAGTGTTAGGGCCCAAAGCTAACCTTGGCTGTTGTTTCCCAGGAGCCTTCCACCTTGTTTATTGAGACAATGTTTCCCATTGAAAGTGAGACTTGCTGAACAGTGTAGCCTGGCTGGCCAGCAAGCCCCAAGGATCTCCCTGTATTTGTCTCCCTGATGCTGGGATCACAGCCACATGCTTCCATACCTGCCTGGCTTTTTTATTTGGGGTCTGAGAATCGAACTTATGCCCTCATGCTTGTGTGGAAAGTACTTTATGGCCTGATCTGTCTGCCCGGCTGGTGATTTCAATGTTTGCTGTTATTTCCTTAGTGATTTTGGGAGAATCTCTTTCTTCTGATGTCTCAGTTTCCTTTATTAGATTCCTCTTGTGTTTAGGGTAATGAAGCCCATGCACAGATAAATGGGCAGCTCCTGGCAGGGCTCTACCCCGTGTTATTGAACCTCTACCTATTTTCTTCTTCTTTTTAAATAATTTATTTTTTAATTACAATTTATTCACTTTGTATCCCAGCTGTAGCCCCCTCCCTCGACCCCTCCCAATTCCATGCTCCTTCTCTTTTCTCCTCCCATGCCCCTCCCCCAGTCCACTGATAGAGGAGGTCCTATCTCTCTGACTTTAGCCTATCAGGTCTCATCAGGCCTGTCTGCATCCCTTCCTCCGTGGCCTGGCAAGGCTGCCCTCCTCCAGGGGGAGAGGAGCCTCTACCTATTTTTAATCCATCCTACAAGACTCTGACTGATGTTCAGCCACATGTGCAACAGCTTCCATCCATGGAGTCTTGACAGGCTTCTTGGTTAGGGTATTGGCCAGGTATCAGGGCTACCGTATTTGGTACTGGTTGCTGACTCATGGGACAGAACATGCTCAAGGAGCACTATGCCTTGACACTCATGAGTCAAGGTACTTCCTGTGTGAGAGAGAAGTCTAGACTTAGGGCTGGAGGCAACCAGATTCCAGAGGCTGTTTTCAAATGATGAACATCTAGATTGTCTGTGTGCATCACCCCAGACCAGAAACTTGAGGAGCCAGGAAATCTGGGAAAGGTTCCCCTTCAACTGCATGGACTAGCACTAATCAAACTGCATGAAACTGCTTAGGAGTCAGGATGCCCAGCAAGCAGCTGAACCAAGAGGACTGGGCCTGCTTAAGGGTCTTCAGGGACTTTCCGACTATAAGAATGGGACTAGGGAGTTCTGTCCAGGCCGTGAGCACAGCTCTTGGCTGCATGAGGGACAGTGCATGCTAGGCTGAGCAGACCCTGTCCTGTGAAAGTTCTTTTTGGAGTCATCCTTGTGGCTTGAGACTGAACAGAACCACAGGATGGTGGTGTGCTGGAGCTATCTATGATAAACTTCTGAGGCAATGGAGACAGTAAGATTTACAGTCTGAGAAAGTCATGAAGAAGAGGCTGTCTATGAAGGTTCCCTGGGGAGGGATGTGCCTGGTACATGGCTCAATCCCACAAGACTAGCTGGTACAAGGAAGTTATCAGAGGAAGCTGTAGCCCCCACCTAGACTTGCTGAGAAGGGCAGATATTCACACTGGTAGGGACATGTGTGTGGGGGGGGTTAAGCAGCCCATAAGGTTCCAACCCAGGCTTTGGATGAAATGATAGGGATAAGGATGCTTTCTTTCTGTTGGACTTGACACTAAGATGTTAAGCCTGTGATGCTATGAACCAGTGTTGGAGAAAGTGTGATCCAACACAACCATGAAAGACATGATTTCAATAGAGGGGGGTGGAGATGGGGTCCTAGATCTCTCCTGAAAGCACACTTCTTGAGCTTTCATCAACAAAAGTTAATAACCCCCAAAACACAAACTGATGTGCTGTGTTCTGATGCTTGTAGCTACATGACAGTTCTTAAAGAGAACACAGTGCTTTTACCTCGGCCTCTTTGCTGTTCAGCACTCTGTGGCATGCAGCAGGTTCTCAGTGTTATGTGATCCTAAAGTGCAATTTCACTTGCTTGCAGGCAGTGTTCAGTGGGCTCCTAAGGAAGTTGTGTGTGACTGGTACGGTGAACAGGTGCCCAGCCCTTCCTTAGCTGAGAAGTCTAAACACAGCAGTGCTTAAAGGGAGAAAGGCCTGTAGGTCCCCCAGCTCCAGTGCACCCTGAAACACTCAATTTAAGGAGAACTGACTTCTCCCTCTTCATATGGTCTTAACAAGACCCATATCCATTTTTATGATGTTTTAATAAAACTGCTTTCTCCCAGTTATCTGCAAACAAATAAAGGCTCCCCACTCTCTTACTGAGGCAGCAAGGCAGGACCCAGAAGGCTTGAAGCCAAGACCTCAGTGTTTCACACTCACCTCAAGAACAGGAGGCAAACTACTTCTCTGAACTCTTATCATTCGAAAAAGTAATTTTGACAGGTACCTCATTGCTGATGCTGCCCAGATAGGAAAAAAAGCTGGGTGGTGCTCTGTGGGTGGGACCACTGGACAGAGGTTGGAATGCTATTCTCATGGATGCTGGTGTTTCTTTCCACACACTCTTTGTCTCTTACCTTTCTGTCATGGCCACCTGCTCCAGCATGGCAGAACCTGTATTGGCCTTCCAGTTTCCAGAGATGGAGGTTCTCCTGGGTTAGAACAAAGCACACATTAGGGATCTCTGTCACTAGTTCCTGCTTTTCTTTGGTGGTTAGGAAATGTTGTTTCAAATATCTGTTCCAAATTATACATAACATGTATTTTTGGATCTGTATTATGTTCTCAAATTTATTTTCCTTTCTGTAATTTCCACTAATGCTGACTGATTTATTTATTCCTGGATATTATTTTTCTAAATTTTCTAATTTTTTTGAAATTTAAAGATTAAATTGTATTTACTTATATTTTTTTTTATTTATTTTATGTTGTGTGCATGAGTGTTTTGTTTGAATGTGGTGTACCATGGTGTGCAATGCCCACAGAGTCCAGAAGACGGCAGCAGACACATGGAAACTGGAGTTATGGAAGCTTCCATGTGGATGCTAAAAACCAAACTGTGGTCCTCTTCAAGAGCAATAAAATGCTCTTAACTGCTGAGCCATCTCTCTAGCCTGTGGATTAAACTTTAGAAAAGTTGACACCTCAGATAAAATGGCACAAATTTTGGTGCTGCAGTCTCCATGCCAGATCTCACATGCTTGACTTTTAGCATCTTATAGTGCTAAGGTTTGGGAACCTTCGGCAAGTGATGCCCAGACAAAGGAAGTTAGATCATGCCCATGAAGGGACCATAGTACTTGTGGTCTTTTTCTTGGCTTCCTGGCTAACAATGCTCATAAGGTCATGAGTTTCCACGAACGTGTTACCACAGGCCCAAAGCAATATGGACAAGTAACCATGGGCTGAAGCCTCTGAAACTGTGAGCCTGAACAAACCTTTCTTCCCTTTAAGTTGATTATCTCAAGTATTTTGTTACAGTAATGGCAAAATTACCAATATGCATGACTTCTTGTTTTTGAGGAGAACTAGAGCAATGTACCACATGATGATTCTGGAAGTTTTAAAGGTTTAAATGTAGGAAAAATTACCTTAGGGATGAAGTGATTACTTTCCCATGGTAAAGAGTTTGGAAGGCTTTGTGATCTCTGCCTGTCTTGTCATCCCTTTTTAGTTCCTTTTTTGGACTTTGTTCTGCCTCAGTCATGACTGTTTTTCTTCTTAGAGCTTGCCTATACATGGCTTCTGTCTTGGTAAGCCTACACACTCACTTTTTTCCCTTTTGTCCCAGATAGCCTTTGTTACTGCCTTTGCCTTCCTAAGTCCTTGCTCATCTTTCAGGCTTCATTTGAATGTGGTTCCCTTGGAGTACACCTTCCTGGACTTATAAGGACTGCTCTGCCCTGCTTTCCCCCCTCTCCTCTCCTCTTGTCTCTTCTCCCCAGCCCTCTCCTCCTCCTCACCCACCCTTCCCCCCTCCCATTCTCTTGTCTCCTCATCTTTCTTTTCCTCTCACCTCCTAGCACCATGTTCAGGAGTGCTCATCTAACCTGTTCTGATAGAGGAGAAGCCCTAAAAATAAGGAACATGTTTCACTTCATCCCCTGGGCACACCATTCCAATGGGACTCAGAATGTAGTAGGCATCTGGTAGTTACTTACTGGGTGAGGAATGATGTATGCTGCAGAGAATCCAGGACACATTTCAAACCCTGTAAGCAGGCCCCCAATTAAATGTTCTATTTTATAAGTGCCTTCATCATGGTATCTCTTCAAAGCAATAGAACATTAACCAAGATACAGCCCATCACTGAGAAAAGCCAAGGCAGGAGCTCAAGTAGAAATTTGGAGCAGGAAGTAATGTAGAGATAATGGGAAATGCAGCCTGTTGGTTTGTGCACTAGTTCATGTTAAATTACCTCTCTTATATAGCCCAGGCTCACCTTCCCTGAGTTGGCACCACCTAAAACAGGTTGGGTCCTCCTCCATCAATTAGTAATCAAGAAAATGCCTCATAGACATAATAACATGGCCAATCTGACGGAGACAATTCTTCAACTGAGAGTTCTTCTTCTCAGGTATGCCTAATGTTTGTGTCAAATTGACAAGAACTCTGACAACAATGCTCATAAGGTCAGTCTATATCCTGAGATATGGTTTTGTCTGCAGGAGTAAAAGTGCATCCTCCTTAGGCTGCTCACTTCCTGCCTTTACTAGCTTTGAGAAAGAGGACTGGCACTGGTAAGTTAGCAATGGATATGAGCTCCATGGAAGCAAAAGTAATTCCAAAGTCACTGGATACAGCCCTAGAATGTATCTATTGTGATATGACTTGACAAATGAACAGCATTTGGCATAGTGAGTTGGTAAGAACTGATGAACAATGCGATTCTAACACTTTCTAGTAATATCCATGGCAGCACCTCCAGGTCTGTAACTTCTTCCTTGGTAAAAATGGAAGTAACTGTAGATTGGATAACCTTAGTGCTGTCCTTTGTGAATGAGAAGGAATAAACTCAGCACAAATGGGCTGTACTGTTATTTTCAGTAAGAGGAGATAAGAAAAGAAGGCATTCCAAGAGCTGAAGCAGCAGGAACTCAAGCCAGATTGCTCTCTTTCCAAAAGGACAATGACTGAGAGAGCTGGTACCTGAGGACTGCTTTGGGCATTTGAGACCTGTTTTCAAGGGCTTTACAATCAATAGCTCATATTGGCTTCATGGGACTGATGGAGATGGCACCAGTATTATCCTTCTCTCTTAACTGCAGATGCCCCCAAGCTGTACTCCACAAGCCCTTGACTCTCCATTCAGAGCTCATGGAGCTCATCATACATGTATGGAAGGGCCCTTTACCCATGACTTGAATGGGATGAAGCCAGTGGGATGTAGGATGGAATGAAGATAGTGGTCAGAGTATCCACCTGTACTATAATTGCCTTTAATTAACTAGGTTGGTGTAACAGAGGACCATGAACTGCGTGGTTTATAAACAGCAACTCATTTATTGTAGTTCAGGAGGCTGGGAAGTCCAACCTCAAGGTGCCTAAAAATTCATATTTGGTAAGGATCCATTTTTCTGGGTTTGCCTTCTTACTGTGCCTTCATGTAGTGGATGAAGCAAGGAATCCTTCTGAGTTCTTTTTCTAAAAATGCTGCCTTAACTGTTAGCCTGATACAACCTAGAATCATCTGAAAAAAGGAAAGATTAACTAGATCAGATTGTCCTATGAGCATGTCTGTGGAGATTGTCTTATTTGTCTTATTGATGCAGGAGGGTTCAGCCCACTGTGGGTGGCACTATTTCCTAGAGAGGTGGTTCTGGGCTATATAAGAAAGCTAACTAAGTATGGTCTAATAGTCAGCCAGCAAACAGCTTTCTTTCATGGTCTCTGCTTTAATTTTCTACTTGAGTTCCTGTCCCAACTTCCCTTAATTGCTTTTGTTTGAAGTGTTTTAACACAGTAACAGAACGGAACTAGAACAAGCATTGAATGCTTTCTGGGAGGTTCTATCCTAATAGTATAATCCCCCCTCTGAATCCTTTTCTTAAGATTAACACTTAAGAAGGATGGAATTTCAATATAAATTTGGGAAGGGGGTGTATAAGAGACCAAATGTACAACCTTGGAGGTGGAGGAAAGGCTTCTGGCCTGAATAATTTTGGACAAAGAGTGACAATATTAAGAGTAAAGGTAAATGAAAGGTTGAAACTGTTCACATGGATAAAAGTCAAGTAAGTAGCTCAATGAGTGATGGATGGTGGAGGCCAGCTTTTTCTTTTCTGGTACAGGAACTATAGACAGGCAATCCAGGAAGGCAAAAGTGACCCAGATGGAACTGGATGAAAGTCCAGGTATAGTGTGACTCCATTTAGAGTAACATACATGCATACAGATAGATGGGGAAATAATTATGATGCATGCATATGAGTGGGCATATGTATGTCTTGGCTGTGTATGCTAAGAGAATCTAAAGGCAGTCACACCTCAGAGGCAGCAAACAGAAAGGCCCGAGTGCAGAACAGCGTGTGGGCCAGAGGAGGATGAATAGCTATGAGCAGGGAGGACATTCTCAGCTGAAGTGTGACATTAGCCTCATCCCTTGGATGTGAACCAACCGAGGATCCAGGAATCTCTGTAACCAATGACAAATTGGAGCTGTCAGGCCAGAAAGGCTCAGCCTGAAGAATGCAGCAATGAGGTGATCCTCAGAAAAGAAACTGGGGCAAGGAGACACCAATGTCAAATGCAAATTCTAACAAGGAGGGGAAGAGGGAAATGTGGTGCCTCAAGAACACACTGGAGCACCTCACTGGGATGAGCCCAGATGATGCAGGGGCAGGAGATCTGATTCCTGAGACATGTGGGAGGACAACTGAAAGCAGTAATTGCTTTGGCTTGACCCAGGGGAAAGGAGAGAGTGGTTGTCTGACAGGATGGGGTAGAACTATCGCCGAACACTGGCTTTATCTCTTTTCTAAGACTATGTCCTTCTCCATAAAGTACCTTCATTTCTTCCTGTGTCCCACGCAACTGTGCAATTGCAACCAACTCGAAGCTTAAAATCATCCCCAGTCTTTAATCATCATCATAATAATGATAATAATAATATTTTATTTTTTATTTGTGTGTATGTGCATGTATATACGTGTTGAGGCTGGAGGAAAAACCTGGAGCATCATCCTCAGAATGCCATCTACCTCCTTTGCAACAAGGTCTTTCATTGGCTTAGAGCTTACCAATTAGAATAGACTGGCTGATCAAGGAATCAGAGAGAACCCCCTGTCTCTGTTTATATAGTGCTTGGATACAAGAGCATATGTTATTTCTGTTTTGTTTTTTTTGAGACAGGACCTCACTATGTAACTCTAGCTATGGAAGTTACTATGCAGACCAGTCTGGTCTCCAACTCCTAGAGATCCACCTGCCTCCCAAATACTGGAATTAAAGGTATACGCTTCCACACCCAGCCTCAGACCTGGTATTTTTATGTGGGATCTAGGTATTGAACTCAGTTTCTTATACTTGCAAGTGCTTTATTCATTGAAACACCCCCAGACCTATTTAAAATCTTGGGTATTGTTTTTGAGACAGGCTCTCTCACTGTGACCTAGGGCTTGATAATTATGTTAACTTGGCTGGTCAATGAGTCCCAGGGTCCTTCCTGGGACTGGGATTATAGGTATGCACCATTATATCTTTTTAGGTGGGGTCTGGGAATTGAACTCTGGTCCTTATGCTTGCACTCTACTAACTGAGTTATTTCCCTAGTCTCCACTTGGCCCTCTATGCAAAGATGTGTTTTCCTGATGGCCTACGCAATCCAGGTGGTAAAAATGGCAGACGATGCATTCACCAACAGGCACAGCTTTGATTGATTTGGCATCTTTATAGAAGCAGGTGACAGCTTGGCTTGCCCACAGGATTCTCAGGCAAAAGCTATGCTGCACAGAATCACATGGACAGACAGATGGACAATGATCGTCCGTGGCCAGTCGCTGCAGTTTCCTGATATGGAACTTTATGCAACAGTCGGTGTTGCATAAAGGTGACAAAAAGACCACACTTGGCTGTTGGGTCTCACCGTTTGAAGTGGAACCAGCAGCAGCATTCCAAAGTGAGGGGCACTGTTAAAGTATCTTTTATTCACCCAATGTAATTGTTGTCTAGGAGGCTTACTGCCTCCATTTGCTAACCTACATCTAGTCCTGGAAGCTTCTATATAATCTAATCTAGGCCTTGAATGTTTTCAGCCTCAGAGACTTACTGCTGAATAAGCTCACCCTTTCTGGTTCTTTATGAACTCTGGATGGATGGTTCAATTCAGCTATTTTGGTTCAAACTCCTCTTCATGCTAATTGATTCGAATTGGCTTCTCTCAGCTTCTGATTGAATTGTTCTGTTTGGCCTCAAACTCACTCTAGCAATCTGTTCTAATTGTCTGGCTCCTTCTGTTTTCATTTGTGTCTAGCTTGCTTTCTCCTCAAACTCCTTCTGTAAAACTGTCCCAGTAAAACTGCCTCTGAATTCTATGAACTGAACTGCCACAAACTCAACTCCACTTCGCTGTCTCTCAACTCACTGACTCAATCAGACTGCCTGAACAGCACTAACTAGAACTCAGGGATCTGCTCCCTCTTTCGCCTGAGTGCTGGGATTAAAAGCATGTACCACCATGCCTGGAACTAAGCTTTTCTTTACCTGAAACTTGCTTTATACCAGGCTGGCCTTGAACTCAGAGCTCTGCTTGACTCTGTTTCCTGGGATTATAGGTGTGGCTGCATTCCAGCTAGATCACACAGACCTCGATGTGATCTCTTTCCAGAGCAGCCATGTTCTGAATTAAAATTCCTCTACAGGACATAGAGACCCAGAAACAAGTAAGACCTATGCAGGGAGACCCTTTCCACCTACTCCAGTCACACTGAAAGCGATAGCCTCTGCCCCAGGTTATCTTATCCTTTGTTGACTCACCTTAGAGCAGAGTCAGGGAACTGCCTTTGTTGCATACTCTTTCTTTAGTGGCAGGACCTCCACTTCCACTAGGCAGTGATCTTGCTCAAATTGCCTGCCTTCCTGCTGGGACTCGAAACAGGGATTTTCTGCCTCTCTCTAACCAAAATGCAAGTGACAGATCACACTCTGAGATAAGTGTTGCAAAAGACCCTGGTGGATTCTTCACCTATTGGTGCAATGAACATCAGCTATCACTTCTGATTCCATACATTTCTGGGACTGCCCTGAATACCAATGCTCTGAAATCAGTAATTTATTGGGATTTTCATTTGCTTTTAAAAGTTTCTGATCACCCATGATTTTCTAACAAATTTCTTTAAAAACAAAATATGTAATATTCAGAAGTAATTTCTGTTGGTTGCAACCAGAGAATCTGATGTGTCTTCTGAATGAGTTTTGTTGGTTCCAGAGGATATCAGATTGCTGTTGCATATGCACACCAGACCATATATCTTTCTCCCTCATACAGAAGGAAATCTTAACCCTTCAGTTAGGTACTCAAAGGAGTCCTTTGTTTACACAAATCTCTACACACACACACACACAGAGAGAGAGAGAGAGAGAGAGAGAGAGAGATAGATAGAGAGAGAGACAGAGAGAGACAGAGAGAGAGAGGAGAGAGACAGAGACAGAGAGAGAGAGACAGAGAGAGAGAGAGAGAGAGATATTTTTCTAGTGAGAGCTATACCCTGGGTTAAGCGTCAGGCAACAGAATCAGAGGTGTAGACATACAAAGCATCATGGTAGAGGAAGCAGGCTCCTCCCATCTTCTTCCCAGTCCATGCCCACTGATGCCCACTCACATGTATGCCTTGTAGTTGGATCCAATCTTCTGTATGCGGATGTCATACTTGGAGTCAATAAAGGCCTCAGTAGTGGCATAGGTTTTGGCCATGGCCACCACACTGGTGATGTCCTGGTAGTCATGCTGGTTTTCTACTTTGATCTGTGGGGTAAAGAGGACATGTGAGTGTGACTGTCCAACCAGTCTCCACTGCACACCTGCCTAGACTATGACAGGCACTCCACCAAAAAGAAGGTCACCTGTCTTGACACAGACATAGAAGGTCAATCATCCCACTGCCTGCCTCCCAAGGAATAAAAGAGGAAGGGGATGGTTCCAGCTGTGAGCTCAGGGGCCCTTTAGAGAATAGGTGAACTCTGAAGGGGTTCAGAATGATAATTTTTTTTGAGACAGGATCTATTATAGTTCTGGAGTGCCCTATGTTGATCAGGTTGGCCTCAAATACTGCATCCTAAGTCCTAGACTGAAGGTATGCACCCCTATGTCTATCCTGTTAATATATATTCTGAGCCTGTGACTGCCTGATGACATGGATGGGTGTTAGGCAAACCATGAGGAACTTCAGGACCTCTCTAGAAGGGTGGCTGGTCACTTGGTTGCTGGAGGTAGGAAAGTGGGGATTATGTCCTAGGGGACAGTTTATGAAAGGTCCTGCTGGCTCTGATCATATGCCCAGATTTTGGAAGCCACAGAAAGAGAGATTGGAGTTTAAATGAACAAGTGTTTTTGAAGTGATCAATTGTGTAAGGGGTTGACTAGGAGAGTGTGATGGGCAACAGAGAAACCAGTTAGAAAAAAGTGTGTGTGTGTGTGTGTGTGTGTGTGTGTGTATACACATGTACTGTGTTTGCATATATTTAGTGGATGCCACATGTGTGGTATGTTTTCTATGGTATTCGCTGTGTATGTCTTTTTATATCTGGTGCTACTGTGTGTAAACAGTAGTGTATATGAGTGTGTATTTGGATGTAAACATGCAATGGACAGGCTGGCTTTGTAGTTCAAAACCTTGGGGGAAAAACCTACCCTATATACAGGGCTGTGGCCAGGACCACAGAGTAGCACCTTGAGGTAAGGATGAGGTGTTAAGAGAGCTCCCAAGACCAAGGGCAGTGTACATGACCAAGGATCTGTGGCAGCGACCTCAAGACTGTAGAAGTTAAATCCTAGAATCGATGGAAAACAAGGTGGAGTGCTCCTTCCAGCTGACCATGGGCACCCTGCTTGTCAAGAATGGTATTCTTCCCTTCTTTTTTCATGCCAACCGTGGAGCATTCTGATGCTGGACCAAAGGCAGGTAGAAGACCTAAGGGGCTCACAGGGGCAGTCTGGGCAGGACTGTGGCAAGAGTAGGGATGAACCTCAGGGTACTTTCTTTCCCATGTTTCCTGCCTTTTGCATCTCAGCTCTGATGTGGGGCTGGGGAGCTGTGGGATGGGGTTGGGGTGGCAGGAGAGCTGGCCTGGAGTAAGAATGAGGTTGAGGCATGTCCAAATCCTGAAAATTTCATCTTGAGATCAGCAGGCCTGCAATGTCTTAGCATATGTAGTGCTGTACCCCAATCCCTGTCTGCTGGAGGACTTCACACAGTCTGGTAGCCAGGTTAAACTTCCTCTCCACTTGTAAGGTTATTTCTGGAATTCCTGAAATTCTTCCTTATGAAAATGAGGCATCCGGATGCTCTAGCCCTGGCCAATGATGTACACTCACCCTGAATGCCCTTACCCCACTCCCAAAGATTTAAGTAGCCTTTGTTTTCTCCATTAAATGAGCTATCTCACTGAAGCTATCTCCTGAGAGTCTGTGCTCACAGATGCCCGAGTCTCTTTGTCCCCAGCCTGTTTGCTTTGCTTTCCCTTCTTAGGATCCACCAGTTGCAATTGCTGGCCAATTGTGCTGAGATGGGCAGGGGAAGCAAAGCCTGAACAGCACTCTTATAACACCATCTCTTTCATGGTATTGTCTATTCACATTTGTACCAACTTACCACTGTATAAAGGGCACCCTCAAGGGCAAGGCATGCAAGCTACATTTTATGGTCTTTCTATAGATGTGGAAACTGAGCTGTCTTTATTCGAAGTCAGTGCATCAGAGCACAGTGCCTACAAAACCCTGACAAAGGCCCATCTCTGGCATTAACCAGCTCAGGGCCTTTGCAGGTACAGACTTTCTTTTCACCATGAGGGTTGTAAGTAAGCAAACCTTGGCAAGCGTTCTCTCCTCTTCACCCTTGAGGAGCCCATCCTCCCAGTAGTGATGCTCAGGCACATATCACAGAGAAAAAGAGGTTGACTAAACTAGAAAGAGATCCCTATGTTTTATTCATCTTACAGCTTACAGGACCCCTCTTTCCTTTTAGCTGTAGCAGAGGGAGATGTGTGCTTTGTTTCTTTGTCTTAGGTCTCTTGAGGTTCTGACTGCTCACTGTCCCCACTTCTTTTACTAACAGGACCCTTCAGTTTAAGCTGAGTACAGCTTTTTCTTTTTTTTTTTTTTTTAAATAAAAAGATATAGATACTTTTATTCTAGTGTCCTTTCCAAGTGGATGTGGTGAATTCTTCAAGTTCTAACTAATGAAAACCAAGATGATATGGTGTAAGCCATCTCTTGGCAGTCCTTGAAGACATTCCTTTCCCTTTCCCTTCTTCCTTATGGATGTGATGTGGGTGTAACTTGTGCAGCAGCAGTTATCTTGGGCAATGAGACAGAAGTCATATGTTGAGAAGTGGCTTAGTAGTAACATGGAAGGAACCTGGATCACCAGCATTGTAAATACCCCTCAGTATTTATTACCTTTATATTCTTGTAGAAGAGAGCAGTGAACTTTAGCTTGGTTAAGTTGTTATTTTGGTCTCTGATAAATAAGCTAAACAACATTTTTGACATTTATTTAGTCTCAGTTATTGTGGATTATCATAATGAGTCAACAAAGGATCTGCCATCTGCTATGGCATTTTGGGTTCTCACCACTCTCTGCTTCTACTGGCTTCTACTTTACCATTTTCTCCTAAGCCACTGTCTTCAGGTCTTATTGTCTTCCATCACATTGGAGCCACTTTGGCTTCTGTTTTACTTACATGGCTCACAGTTATGACATGATACCTGACAAAAGCAACTTGAAGAAGGAAGGGTAGGTTTATTTTGGCTCAAAGTTTGAGGGAACAGTCCATCATGGCAAGAAAGCAATGGTGACTGGAGCATGAGGTGGCTAAGCCTATCTCATCCACAGTCAGGAAGTAGAGTTATGAATGCTGTTATTCACCTTGTTCTTTTTGTTTAGCCTGGCAGTTAGGATGGGTCGTTGCACTTCAATTAACCTAATCTAGATAATATCTCACTGGCTCCCCCAGAGGTTTGTCTCCAAAGTGATTTTAGATCCTGCCAAATTGACAATCAATAAAAACCACCCCAACCTCCTCAATGGTGAATCCTGTAGAGTTCCTTGGGTTGCACCCTGTTGTTTCTCTGGCTAATATCTGAAATTGGTAAACCTTTGAAGTTTGGTTTACATACTACTGTTTCCATTTTGGTAACCACCCCCCTCATGGTTGGTATTGCCTTGTCTTCCTCCAGTGTCCTTTGGATGGCATTAGGGTTTCATTTTTAGCTAACACATGGGCTCAGGTACAGGGATTTTTTTAAGAATGAAAGAATCCAGGAGAGGGCTTGCAGGGACCACAGAGCACAACCATGTTTCTGTCACTAGTGGCTTTGGAAAGGCTATAATTTCTGTTCTATGGCACAGTATACATGATAGGCTGCCTATCATGTGTAAGATGGTTAATGTCCAAGCATCTTTCTCCATCTTCAATCTCTTCTGACCTAGAGACCCATGGCCACCAGAATAAATACTACACTTGCTGTTTCCCCCTAACACATTTGTGTGGCCATGTGACAACATTGTGATATTTTGGTGTGATCATAAAAGGATTACAGGGAAGGGCTGGGCTCTCCCTTTGCTTTTGCCCTTTTCAGGTTGACTGGAATGTGGCCCATCATTGGCTTTATAGATGACAAGTGGATGATTCATATGATGGAAGGAAGACTGGCCTCATGAAACCAGGGAGGCTCCAGGCCAGCCATGGGCTTCTTTTTATGCAGTTCTATTAGAGGAAATAGAAAGTTTTAGTTTGTTTAAGCCATTTTGTTTTGACAATCACACTTTATCTCAATCACAATCTAAGCCTTAGAAGGCATTTAAGAAAAAAGTGGGGACAAAAGGGAACCAAAAGTATAGCTGTAACAGTTTAATAAGTGAGCTAGTGCCTCAGCCTACCTTTCTTTGAAAGTCTCATCTGAGTCTTGAGTAGTGTGTGTGGGGTGTCACTCATCCTGCCTCTTTCAGAGATGGCATAACTCTTCCATGGGCTCTTTCCAAATGTCCCCAGCAGCAGGATGTTCTTTTCTTTACAGAGGGCTTCCCAGATGGTATAATGCTGGAGGTCCATAAAATCCTGGCTCTCCCCTGGCTCCACTGTGCCTTTCTCATGGGGGATGGATGGACAATGAATTTTGTTCCAAGTCATAACATTCATGCCTGGCACACTGTAGGTGTTAAAAGGTGTTTTACTTATTTATTTATTTTTGGAATGAATACAAGAAGCTGGATAGAGACTAGAAATTGTGGCTGGGAGAGGTCATGGTAGTGGAAGGCTTAAGTAAGTCAGAGAATGGCAAAAGGAAGTGTGCTTTGGAGATGTGCATTTCCCCCCAAGTATTATGTGTGTGATAGGTGTGCATAGGCCTGCGGTTGGTGTTATGAAACATGCTCAGTCATTCTTCCACCTTGTTCACTGAAGCAGGGTTTCTCAACCAAAGCCAGAGCTCACTTATATGGTCAGTCTTGCTAGCAGATTTCTAAGACCTCTCCTGTGTCTGCCTTCAAGCGAGAGCTCCTTGATGGAATTACTGGCTGGCTACTATGCTCACCCCACCATGCTCATTCTAGTCTTGGTGAAAGCTTAACCACTGAACCATCTCTCCAGACCCTGGACAAGAATGTCTTTTTATAAGATGATACCCCATCCTCAAATTTCTAAGTTGGATGCTACCCTTTCAGAGGACTGTAGCCTCTTTGAAAAGGTCCCTGGAAACATAATGAGCCCAGGGATCCTTGAGAAAAGGCAGGTGACCTGTAGCTG